TCCCGCTTTTGAAGAAGTTGGTAAGGAGACTGCTGTGCTCTGTTCAATTGATCTCGACTGATCATCTCTCTAATGTCCTTGTCTGCTGTCCCTCTATGGCCTAGAACAGGGTGGGGATGGCTGCTATCTCCACCTGCCCAGAGAAGGGGCGCATTTTTTGTCAAACAAATTGCACGCATAGCCTTATGGAGGCTTATAGAGTGCTGCTGGGGGCGGGGGGGGCAGAAATGGCCCTTTTTTGCTCATTTCTGCCCTCCCCAGCCCCCAGGAGTTCTCTGAAAGCCTCCATAAGGGTATGCACGGCCATTTTGGTGAAGGGGTGGGGCTTCGGGAGGCAAAAATATGCTGTATTCGATGTATAAGACGCACCCAGATTTTCAGGCTCTTTTTTGAGGAAAAAAGGTGCGTCTTATACTCCGAAAAATACAGTAGCTCTGCATCTAATCTGTTAAATCAAGGCTATAATTCCATTAAAATTAATGAATTCTAACAAAAAAATAACAAACAGCCGATGTATTATAATGGCTAAGGGACTACTAAGGGAGATCTACCCTTAGTCAGGGAAATTCACTGGGCCAGTGCATCTCACAGCCCAACTTTTTATTGTAGATAAAATGAAGGGGAACCTCATGAAAGTTCCTTTAAGCTCTTGGGGGAAAATTGGATCTAAAAGAAATTCATAATAAAGAACCTGCTAAAACAACCCTCCCTAACAAACCCACAATATATAATTTATGATGCATAATCTAAAATATACATTACTACATTCTTCTTACCTGCATGTGAACATAGAGTTTTTCTGTGGTGTCAGTTTGCTTTTCACAGAAGAGACAGACTGCACAAACAGGATGTTCTTCCCAATCAGACCAGTCTCTATAAAGAAACAATGCAAAGAACCATCTATAACTTGCATTTTGGAATTGTCTAGAAAAACTGTTGGCATGGAAACAAAATCTGTTTTAACTCATCTATTCCTGCAAAAAGCAGAAAGAGTGGAATTCTGCTCCTATCAACCAGCTGCAGTCTTAACTATATCCTCTTCCATACTTGTCCCCATTGGCTTTTTGTTCCTCCTTCCTACCTCTGAAGATACTCAGTTTTATGTTATCACTAAGCAGGTTTAATCTACTCTAAGTTGTTTTGCCATATATACATTTCCCCATAAATTATTTTCGTAGCATTGCAAGTTTTGCAATTCTCAAGCAAACTGGTATTTTCTTCTTCTTCTTGGTCTCAGCATTTTGATGAGATAACTATTCCATCTATTAACTATTACAAGCTGTAACAACATACATCACCCATATGGGACAAAGGTACTTATGCCTGGATGCTGCTTATTTCAAAGAAAGAAAGAACATATCCAAGAATGTGGGTTTTTTTTTTTGCAGTTACCAAAATTTAAGTTGTTAATTTTTAGCAGCAAAACAAAGTAAATGTTTTTAAACTTAAGTATAGTTTTATCCCACTAAAAACCAACACCTCCCCCCATCTCTTTTCCATCTACTGCAATAATGCCACTATAGTATTCTGACTCCATTATGGTCTTTGGCCAACCTAATATTGCAGTTATAAACGTGGGTTATTTAAAACTAAATCCATCAGCTGCTTTAAGATATAAAAACAAACAAAATGTTAAAAAGTTATGATATTTATGTAGTTGCCACACATGTCTAAATTATATTAAAGTAACCAAAATATCTTTACAATCCTCAAGGCATGCCACAATTTTTGAGCACCTAATGTTTGGAAATTGAAAGTTGAAAAAATTGACATGCCCTAAATATATGAATGTCCGTTCAAGGAACCAGCTTCCCATTGAACTCAGTGCTGCTTTCTGTATTTATTTATTTTTATTTTATATCCCACCTTTATTGTTTTTAAACAACTCAAGGTTGCAACCATATGTAATATTCCTTCTTCCTCCCATTTTCCTCACAACAACAGTCCCATGAAATGAGTTGGACTGGCCCAAAGCTTTCATGGCTAAGACAGAAATAGAACTCACAGTCTTCCAGTTTCTAACCTCTGCCCTTAAGTTAGACCAAACTTTCCCGTAATCTTCTCTGGGAACTGTATGCATGAAAATAATTCAAATGCGTCTATTAACAGGATCTCTCTGTAACATTTTCTTATCACTATTGAAGGAGATTCTAGCACAGGAATGGCGATATTAGATGACCTGTATTTCCAAATTATAAATTGCCCTACTAGGTAAAAGAACACTAAAAAATTTCCTTGGGGTGCAAAAGTACATTTGAGGTGGGATATTGTCATGCCCCAACATATAATCTTTATATACTGTTGCTGCTTTCTAGCCCCATCTAGCGGTGGGAGGGACAAATACCAATTTTATTATTTTGAAGTTGACCCAACCCCTTTAGCCATCAGCCCGCACTCTCAAAACAAGTGCATGCTGGGAAGCCAGACTTCATTTTTCTTTAGCATTTGGAGGAGACAGAAGCACAAAGAAGAATCCAACTTAATCTGTGGCACATGTTCATCCAAGGACAAACACACATCCCATACACAGAGCATTGCTAGATTGCTTATATTTATTAATTGTCATATTCAGCAGTAACTAAATACTGCCTATCTTGTATTTGGTTCTCATTGTATGTATTCCTATTTTCCCCAGTTTCACCATATGTTGTTCTTTCAATAAAGCATCCAGATCTATGCACACAGTCTGTTTTATTGGAGGATAGGTGGGTTTAGCTGTATGTCGAGCTGCACACAGACTAATGTGTAGTGAGGACAGAACAGATATCATTAAAAAAAATACAATGAAAGATATTAAATTGTCCCTTTTTAATCTGACTATCCTAATTCACTTCTGTTCCCCAAAATTACTATTTATACTTGAAAATGTTGAAAATCTTATTTTTAATTTTTTTCAGTGACTGCTATTTTGTCTATCATTATCATGTCATCAGGCCTAAAGAATATCAGGTTACTAGCCCTTAAATATTAAACAAAAAATCCAAATACTCTTCTTGATTGTGGAACAATTCTCGATCATCTTCTGATTGAACCTGTTCCCAGGACTTCCCAAATTCCTGGAAAAAAATAAAATAAAAATATGTTAAGCAAACTAAAAATTTTAGATTCATTCAGAAAGAGCAGACATTCTAAGTTAGAAATGGAAACTCTCAGCAATCTTTCCCCTTGGTGATATCCATTGAAGAACTTGAATGCTGCAGCTTTGTAACATCTGAAGAATTACAGGCTCACCTTTATGTGATCTAAGTTTTGGTTGTATCTTATCTGATGGGGTATTTAAGATAAAGTAATTTTATAGTTTTGTATGTAAAATATTAATTTACTCAGTTGGAAATGAATTTCTCCTTGTGAAAAGAACCCAAATGCGAGGAAATATGGGATTTCATCAAGAGTCTATAGCAAGTATGAGAATCCCTTATAGGAACTGAATTTTGACCCATTTCACAGTTTTATTATGGTACCCAAATCAAGTTCATTTCTTAGGTTTACTGGATTTTGTAATGGTTGTATTCCTGACTCATGATAAATTTGTGTGATTCACAAAAGGTCCTAACAATTAAGTACTCCTGGCAAGATAGAAGATTATGAGAGTCTGCAAGAATTGAGCAGTTTCCTATATTTCCCAGTACAACTTATTTCTAAACAGAGTTTTATTTTCCTTTTTAAAGAGTATATAAATTTATTTTTTAATAACTGACTCCTTTTATGGGATGAATGCTCATTATAGGATATGGAAAACATCCAGTGTATTTAACTATTTTATGCACTTCTCTGCATTGTTGTGGAAAGTACTAGTGAAAAGCTCTATGGAGCAAGATAAGCCCTCTTTGGATAACTGAAGGATGGATTAAAAATCCTTCACCCACAACCCTGTGGGTTTGCACAGGAATTAGCTAGATCTGGTTTTGCCCTCATCTGTGCTGAAATGATGTACTTAATAGAATTTTGCATTAAGAGATTGGATCATCTTGGCCGTGCTTGCTTTGGTTGGGTTCATCAGACAGAATATTGACATTCAACCAGATCTACCAAAATTAAAAATGACAAAGGAGTCATTATGGGCTTATGCAGCCTGTCTGGCTACCTCTGGAAGAGCTGTGAAGACCCAGAAAATGTCTGGGGTGGAATGTAAAGAAAAGCAGATGGCCAAGACCAGGATGGGCCTGGCGAGAGCTATTCCGATTGCAGGACAAGTGGATTTCAGTACCCAAATGGTGATCACTTGTTTGAAGGGATAAGCAGAGAAAAGCAAACAGCCAACAGCGCAGGAGTAGGCCATGGCAGCTGGGGGGACTCCATCAGGCAAGCAAGGAGTTATGGTGAGGTGTGGTGCCGAAGGCATCCAAAGCTGAGTTCCCTCTGCTTCCTCCTGGAGCTGCATTCACCCGAGGCAAAAGATGGAGAGAGAAAAAAGCAGCTGAGTGGGAAGAGCCGATGGAGTGGAGGTACCTTACAGCCCGCCACAGCCCATCAGTCAAATAGCTGAGAGAGAGGGGTTCATCAGAATCAATTGCAGGAAGCAGAACTGGCATGGCAGATAGCCCAAGCTTCTGCAGCAGGATCCAGTCAACCCTCTGCAACACTCCCACTTCCATTGCCTCAATCCATTGCTGAGGCTGGGGGGAGCCATAGTCTCATGTGCAGCCAAACCCCACTGACTGCCACCCCCCCAGCAGGGCCTAGCTTTAGGGCAAGGTGGCATTGGACCCCTAACAAGCGGCAGCCCAACTGCACAGGATTGCCGGGCAGCCTCAAGAGCAACTAGCAGTGGTTAGTGCACCGCCCTGGTTCTTTCCTCAGATGATCACAGGGATACTGGGGTGCCCCAGGCACTATCAAGCCGCCGCCGATTAAGGCCACATTAGATAGGAGTCTGGAGAAATTGGCATTCTTCCTGAATCACATGTGGGCTCACCTGGATCAATATGGGCCAGCCTACTTTGATGATGTGGCTTGTATGAATGCTATTGTGGCCAAATTAGAGGGTGAGGCAGCGGAATGGGTGACAGGCGTCAATGACGAAGGGGCTCCCGAGTTGGGGGATCCCAATGCCTTCTTGGGGAGCTCAGAGCCCGATTTGGAGACACCATGCAAGTCCGATGGGGGGAATCTGACATCCATGCTATCAAGCAAGGAAGCAGACTGGTGATTGAATACATTTGTGAGCTCTGAAGACTGGCAGGGAGGCCAAGTCATTGGCCAGAATGGCTCCTGGTTCACTATTTTCAAGACGGTCTGAACCGGGAGTTGTACCATATGTGTCTACCTCAAAGAATATCAGAGTGGATCCATGACTGGTACAGGTGGCAACAAGCGTGGAACTGGACCTAATGGAGTACAAACATCACGGAGGAACAGAATGCTGCCTGAAGAGGAGCAAGGAGAAGCACCCACTAGGGCAGAGAAAACCCACTGCAAGGGCCCCTGCCTCTCCTGAAGCCCCGATGTGCAGACTGAGCTTATGCTTCTGATGTGGCCCAGAGGGACAGAGTGGCAGCCTGCCCATACTGGTGCCCATTTCAATCCTGAGGGCCACGAGCCCAGCGAAACCGAGGAAGTTCCCAAACAGGGAAAGAAGTCATGAGTAGCATGACAAGTTGTAGAGTTCTCCCCCCCACTCAGCAGTGAAGGGGAGAGAGCTCCAACTGAGGAGGACACCAGCTGAATCTCTACGAGAGCGACAACAAGGGGAAGATGGTAAGTGAGATCGGGTTGATGGTGAGATGGGCATACTGGTCTGCCCAAGTGGAGATCATAGTACTCCATTTGGGGACAAAGGTGATCATAAAACCCCTAATAGATTCAGGGTGCATCCGATGCTTAGTCAGCCTGCAAACAGTGCGGAAGTTGGGATTGCAAATGAGAAAACTACACCCACCCATAAAAGTTCCTCCGAAAAGGAAGCAGGCCAAGCCCAATCAGCAGTGAGAAGAGAAGGAAGGATTCGAGCACACAAAAGGGGCATCCGACCTAGCACCAAATGCACAAACCATCCCTAAAGAATACTGGGGCTTAGTGGAGGCATTCAGTGAAAAGGAATGTGACATCCTAACCCCCCATCGTCCTATGGATTGTGCAATTGAGATCCTGCCAGAGACGAAACTGCTGGAGCCCAAGATGTACTCAATGACCTCGAAGGAGATGGGGGAGTTGAGAGACTACATTGATAAAAACCTGGCCAGGGGGTTCATTTAGCCTGCAAAATCCCAAGTGGCAATCCTCATGCTGTTCAAGGAGAAAAAAGATGGATCGTTGAGATCACGTATAAAGTTTAGGGAGGTAAATGGTGAGCATGTGGAAAACACGTACCCACTCCCCTTATGAAAGATATGCTGGGAAATTTAGCCAAAGGGAAGATATTTACCAAACTGGTCCTCAGGGAGGCTTAATACCAAGTCAGAATCAAAGAAGGCAACAAATGGAAGACCACCTTCAATTGCCCGTTAGGATGCTACCAGTTTAGGTAATGGCTTTTGGATTACAGGGAGCCCCAGTTGTGTTCATTCAACTAATAAATGAAGTCCGATCAGGGCCAAACCAGGAGCAACCTACCTCTTAGTGTACTGTAACCAGAAGTTTCAGAGCTGTTACAACATGTCAGGTAAATGGTGTACCCATTAAAATAACTCATAACAATATTTCATTATCATTTGGGGAATTAAAACACTGTAATTAAATCAGAGATGCCTTACGTTCTAGGATAAACTGTTGGGAGTGCAGATTAAGATTCATTCATATTGCCAGGAAAACAGCTAGGTTGGGGTGAGGAACCTTCTGTCTGAACCAGCAGCTTAGGTTTCACACCTCACCAGCATCCTGTCAACAGTGGGGGAAGGGAGGGCTAATCTACATAGAGCACTATTTCTATCTGTCTTGTTTGCCAACATTTGCTCCCTAGAGACCAAAATGGATGATCTCAATCTTAAACTAGCCATGAACAAGGAGGTGAGAGACTGCTGTGCTATTATCCTGACAGGGACATGGTTAAAGTCATCTATTCCAGACAATGCCATCAGTAGGATGAGCTTTTTAACATTTTGGCTGGACAGGAGCTGTGCTTTGAGTGGGAAATTCCTGTGGTGGGGGTGTATGTATTTATATTAATGATAGATGGTGTACCAATACTAAGGTAGTCTCCAGCCAGTGCTCTCCTGATGTTGAGACCCTTTTATTTGCCAATTCACAGTCATCGTAATTATTGATGTGTATATTCCGCCTAGTGCCAACAAGAATGAAGCCCTGAGTGCTCTTTATAGCACTATCAATCACTTGCAAATTATCCATCCCGAGGGAGTTTTCACTGTGGTAGGGGATTTCAATTAGGCTGACTTTAAAGCAGCCCTCCCTAATTTCCATCAATATGTGGACTTTGCTACTAGAGGTGAGGATACTTTGGATTTATCTTACTCTAACATCAAGAAAGCATTTAAGCTGCCCCTCGCCCTCATTTTGGCTCCTCAGATCATCTCTTTGTGATGCTTATGCCACATATAAGCCTTTGTTAATTAGAAAGAGAGACCAATTAGAAAACAAATTAGAGTGTGACTGGCAGGAGCTATGGAAGTTCTACAAGATTGCTTTGGGCCCACAAATTGGAACATATTTAAAGAAGCTGCAATGAATAGGCAACATACTGATGTGAACAAGTATGCTTCTACTGTGTCTGCTTATGTTCAAATGTGTATGGAGGATGTCAGTGTTCTTAAGACTATTGTTATACAAGCAAATGAGAAACCTTGGATGTCTCAGGAGGTGCCTATGATGTTGAAAGTGGTTGACAAGAATGTAACTGCCAAGGAAAAAGTGCTTTAATTCTGAATAACCCAAACAGAGACACAATTGTAAAATTCTCAATCCCCAACAGTTATGGTGTGCTACAAATAACACAGAATCATTTATATCTTATTTTTACTATACTATATAGTTATTTTAAAATGGATAAACTAATTTTTTTTTTAAAAAAATCTAAAAATTATAATTTGGTATGATTTTACAGCATTATAATAAGAGTTCTGAGTTCCATAATTGCTTCACAGTAGCTTTTATGGTCTATGTTATTACTACAGTTTTATAGCTATTGCCTTTACAATTTAAAGGTACAGGTTGTTCTTAAATTATAGCTGTTAATTCTACAGTTGATTTTGTAACCCTACAATTGATTCTGTAGTCCCAAATTAACAGCCAATAATAGCCACTTTTAGTTGGTCAAAAACAGTCATTTGTTTGAACCCAGTAAAATGATCACTGGTCTGTGCATGAAGCATATTAATAGTTGGCAATTTATTGTTGATTTAAAATGCAACTTGGTATTATATATATATATATACACACACACACACATACATACATACATACACACATACGAAACTTACCAAATAATTAATAATATAAAATTTGTCATATTCTTGGTTTTTAGCATTGATTTTACGATGTTGCTTCTTCCTCATGTGGTCCTTGACTTTGTTCTTATCTGCAAATGTTTTTTCACAGTATAAACATTGGAAACTAAGAGTTAACAAAAGAAAAATGAAATTGTTATAATACTATCAATTAGCAAATTTACTTGTGATGCTAACCAAACTGGTTCATTTTTAAATATGTAAGACACTCTTTATAGGCTTCAGAAAGACATTTAAGAAAACTTTTATTAATAAATCATTCAAGCAACCTCTGGAGCATCCCAAATCAGCTCTGTTCCATTGTTAAAATGGAGAGGCAGTTTAATGTAATGGAGACTGTCATACCTAATCCCACTTTAGGTATGAAAAACCAGCTGGGTGATTTTGAGCCAACCACTCTCTTTCTGTTAGCCCAACTCACCTCATGGGTTGTTATAGGGGGAAAACAGAAGGAAAGAATATTGGTATTTTTTTGCCATAAGCTGCATATGAAAAAAGATGGAATTTTAAAAAATCTAAAAATTAAAATGCCCAGAATCTAGGCTCAAATATCACTTATTTTATAACTAACCCAAAACAACAAGACTTATTTTATAACTAACCCACAGGAATGTTAACAGCCTCCCAAATCCTTCCATGATTAAATAAATGACAGGTAAATCAGTAATAGACAGTTTCAGAAAAGACACAACATTCAGAACAGTGGTAATTCATCCTTTTATTTATTAAAAAAGAGAAGAAAAAAAGAGAAAGTAAATATATAAATTTAAAACAGAATTGAAGTTACCATTATAAAACAAAACTAATATTATAAAGATGCTTTTTCGAGAGGCAACTGGATTTTCTGGTTTTTCTTTGAAGATGTTTCTCTTCTCATCCAAGAAGCTTCTTCACCTCTGACTGGATGGTGGGGAATGGAAGAATTTATATTCCTTGAAGACAACTGGTCATTTGCATTTTTAGTGAGCTGTTGAGGCCACCTGGAGGTTTATCTGTGTCATCAGGGTCATTTGATTAATGCAAATGGGTATGGAGCCTTCTTGGAACTGTTGAAAGGACTGTGATGTAGAATGGAGATAGATGATGTTGTATCCCTCCCCTTCTGTTGAGGGAGGGCGGTTGAATTTTGACATAGATGGCCTCTTCAACCCCTCTTCTCCAAAATGTGGACTTTGCTTTCTTCAAAAGAGTGGCCTTTGCCTTTCAAATGCAGATGGACTGCTGAATCTAGTCCTGGTGGGTTTGTTTTCAATTCAATTCAATTCAATTCATTAAATTTATATGCCGCCCTTTCCCCCCGAAGGGGACTCATGTTTTCCTATGTTATGCCATGCGTTTATGATGTGGTTGTTTTGTTTCCCCAACGTACAGATCTGCACATGGCTCATTGCCTTGTACTGCATATACCACATTGCTTAGTTTGTGTCGGGGTGTGTTATCCTTGGGGAGGACAAGTTCCTGCCTTAGTGAAGTATGCATGTATTTTGTGTTGACTGAAGATCCTCCTGAGCTTTTCTGATATTCCTGCAACGTATGAAATGACAATGTTGCTTCGTTTATTGTACTCTTTGTTGTCTGTTATGGAGGAGCTTCTGTCAGATCTTTTTTGAGATTTGATGAAGGCCCACTTGGGATAGCCACATGTTCTGAGAGTTTCCTTGATGTGTTTTAGTTGTTTGTCTTTCCCATCTTTGCTGGTAGGCAGGCCTTCAGTTCGATGGTCTAGGGTTCTGATGACTCCCATTTTGTGCTCCAGTGGGTGGTGGGAATCAAAATGAAACTACTGATCTCTTTGTGTGGGTTTTTTGTAAGGCTTCTGTTTTCCTTGATGTGTACTGCACAGTCCAGGAAGACTAGACTATTTTCCTTAACACCTTCCCAGGTAAAATTGATGTATTTGTCCACAGAACTGATATGCTTGGTGAATGCTTCCTATGCCATGGACCATCTATGTCAAAATTGAACAGCCCGCTCTCAACAGAGGGGAAGGCATGTGACATTATCTATCTCCAGTCTACAACACAGTCCTTGCAACAGTTCCAAGAAGACTCCATACCCATTTGCACTAATCAGGTGACCCTGACAACAGATAAGCCTCCAGGTGGCCCTGACAACTTGCTAAAAGAATGCAAATGTCCAACTTTCTGCAAGTATAAATTCTTCTATTCCCCACCATTCAGTCAGAGCTGAAGAAGCTTCTTGGGTAAGAAGTGAAATGTCTTCAAAGAAAAACCAGAAAGTCCAGTTGCCTCTTGAAAAAGCACATTTGGGACAATCATGACTGAAAATCTCCATAGACAAAACTAATATAACATACCCCTTAGGTAGCAGATATTTTAGTTCAGTGCTTCTCAGACTTTTTCCTTCATTCTCAAACTTTTCTATTAGAAGATCCTTTTTACTCAATATTAATAAACCATTTTAAATTAATTGAAATGTCGCAAACAAGACTCTGAGACAGGTAAATTCCTCAAAGAATAAGTTTATCAGATAGTCATATTGGCACAGGCTGGTGAAAACCAGCTCTGCCTATTCCTGCAGTTTTCACCTAATTAAAAGATTTCCACTTTCTCAAAACAATCCTTCACATGGTCCAATCAGGATATTGTCCAGTGACTCCAATCCCCTCCTTTCGAGCACCTGCAGGAACGTCCTTGGTTACCAAGAAAAAGTATTTTGTTTTGACTAAAAAACCCAACTATCTCTATTCTCCCCTCCCTCTTCTCCAGTGTCTCAGTGCTGAAGTCTCAAAATGGCCTCAGTCAGGCCAGCTTCAGGGCTGACCCTGGTTGTGCTTGGGCTATCCTTTCCTGTGTCACTTTTCCCCAATTTACCCAGGTTTGAGAAGCACTGTTTTAATTCTTGGCGGTATACAAATAGGTACCTGTCAATTTTTTTCTGAAGAACATTCAAAAACTCCTTACAGTTCACAATGTTATCTGGCAAGCCAATATTGAATGCATGATCTTTTGCCATGTGATTGAGAAGGACTGACCTACAAAATATAAGAAACAAAATACAGGTGTTTCTTTTTTTCCTTCTACCTACATTTTAGGGCACCAATAAATATACTCAAATGAAAACCATAATGCTTGCAGTGCTGCTAGAATGAAGGTAGTTTATCCTTTTGCTTAGATTTCCAATTTCACTGTAAACAGCCATGCAGAGATGAATAATATCCAAAGCAACTCTTAATATCCAGTAATTCACAAATGCTACTTGAAATACTTTCGAGTGACTACATAACTGTAGTAATTATTTTACTGATAGAATTTGTGCTTAACCAAAGAAAAATGTTAATTTCAGACCAATACAACTATTACTGAATAACTTCATGGAAAGCTTTTTTTTTAGCAGCAAAGAATGTATTTTCAAGTTATTTCCTTCTGATAGCAGCATATCACAACATCATCTGCATCTTTAAAACCAAAACCAATTACTGATATTGATCTATATTGTAATTATGCATCAGGGTTACCATTTCAGGCTGCAGCAGAAAAGACAAATGATTTCAATAGAGGAGGGTGGGCAATATATTTCATACTTCGTTAGAATGGAAACACTGGTGGCAAACAAACACAAGCACATACATTTATTTAAAGTAAAGACCATACAAAGATAATACAGAAATCTATTTTATTACTTGGAGCGATAATCACAATATATAGATTCTACAGTAGTATTACTGTAATTCATTGATTATTCAAATACTGCAAACCAAATATATTGCCTCCCCTCCTCTCCCCTCTCAAGTCTCAGTTCAGTAATTCCTGCCTTGGTAAAATGCTGTTTGACGTTCAGAGAGTGGAGCCCACACATCCTGGCTCATTCCCATATTCATAATATACTGTTTGCTTGGCTGAGTAGTTGCATCAAAAATAGAATAATATAGAGAAGCAGAATGATATTCAGGATGAGCAGGGCACAGCCTACCTATCATTTTGAGATTCCAGGATTCAAAACTTTCTGCTTTGTTAAGTTTCAGTATGCTGAAACTTTGAACTTTTGTTAAGTTAGCTAAAAATAATAGAAATAATAATAATTTAAAATAGTAATATAGTTACTATTTATTTAAATAATAAACATGTTATATGTTTATAAATATGTTTAAAATACTATTAAACATATTTTATGCAGCCTCATAAAAATGATTATTAGTGGCTCACATGAGTAGAAAAAAAACCAATATCAAACAATCCTGTACATAAATAAAACCATAGCAACACTACAATAATAGAAATAAAATAAAAGATGACAATATGAAATCCAATTTGAAAAAGGCTGTTTGAAAAATCTTGGTTTTTAGGAGCTTGCTGAGAACAGCATAGAAGAGCCAGTCTGATCTCCAGGAAGGGGGGGGGAGCAGGAGAGCGCTATTCAACAAAGTTGGCATAGCATCAGAAAAACAATGTCTCTTTATCTCAACTACCCGTTACTTACCCAGGTGCTATTTCCTATCACGTATCATGAGTCATTAGAACCATGATTCACCTCAGTACTGAGGAGCTTCTTAGGAGCATTGGGTGAAACAGACTACTAGACCGTGTGATTTTAGGTTGTCCTCAGATATGGCAAATTGTAACTCCCATAGGGTTACAATTAACCTATTGGGTAAAGTAAATGGCTAAGGATCAACAAAAGCCAATAGCTGTTATGTGTTTCACACTTTTACTATAGGCTACTACCCTAAATTGTAAGCATAATATAACAACGTCTGAAAACTGTTCTGTGATACCCCATCTGAGCTTTCCCCAATAATACAGCACTAGGATGTTCATTAGGAGGATCTTGATGTCGTGGTGAAACGGATGGACAATCTTGGGGCTCCAAGATTGCCGCTGAATTCTAGTCGCAGGGTGGTCCACTTTGGACCTAAACTATCCCGAAGAGACAGTGACAGGAAGGGGCACATCCTGTCGATCCTGGAGACACCCGCAGAGTCTCTGGTGATCTGGGAAAAGGCCCTTTTGCTGGCGGCTGCGAGGCAGCCATCAAAGTTGCTGCAACTCAAGGGCAGGAGAGAAGCGTGTCATCTTGGTGAGAATGTTTTATTATTATTTTTTACTTGAGAGAACACCCTAAATGCGGAGATTTAAGTTAAAATGAAGAAACAAATTGGAAACAAGTATCACTGTCACCTAGAGGATTTGAAACATTGTTTTTAGTTTTGCATGAGTGTTTGAAGAAAACTTGCTCTCTTCAAGGTTACAATGCTTAACCAGGAATTGATGGAGAGATGAGCATGGATGTTTACACAGGTGATCTTTGTGAAATTATCAGTGTGTGGGACTTTCTGTGTTGAAAATACAAACAAAAACTTAAAGGGAAAGCCTAGAGTGACCTTGAAAACACTTTCACCTCATAGAAGTTTTGAGATTTCTCTGGTGGCAAGGCTTTTCTTTTTTTTTCATTCTTTTTTTTTGTGTGGAAGTGATATTTACTCTCTGCCCCTCTTTTTTTTCTTTTTTACTTTTTTTTACATCTGTTATTTTGTTTTAATTGAATTGGACCAAAGGAGATTTTTTATTTTGCTGTCGGTTATTTTCCTTTTTCCTTTTATTTTCTTTTTTAATTGGAAATAATTGGATAAGGATCAACAAGAGATTGAAGATTTTTTCTTTTCTTTTTTCTTGTCTTACTGTTTTTCTTTTCCCTTTTTTGGTTTTGGCTTTTTCTTTTTAATTTTTTCTTATTTACTTCTTCTTTTTTGACCTTTGTGTGGTCATTTGGGATTATAATTGTATTTCATACTAAGTGGATTAAAATATAGAAGAATCTGAAGATGAATAAGAAATAACAACCACCGGCTCCGCAACAACAACCTCTTCCTCTTTACCAGCAGGAGGACAAAGATACATACAGATGATGTTGCAGCAAGAAAAAGACAAGGGAGTAATGTTAGAGATGATTATGCAAGGAATACAAAAAATAAATGTAAGAACAGAGACCATAGAAAAGAGAACAAAAAGTATTGAAAGCAGAATAGAGAAAATGGAACAAAGAATGGAAAATATTGAGCAAAAAAAAGGAAAAACAGATGAAAAAATTGAAAGTATTCAACAAATGATGATGAAATATAAGGACAGACTACAAAAAATGGAAAAAGATGACCCAAAAGAGAAGAAAATTGGGGATATTGACAGCAGATTTTGCGTGGTGGAAAAAGACAACAGTGGATTATTGGGATGGGAGATGGAAAAGTCAGAATTTTTTTTTTTATTCCAAAACGCAGAAGAAGAAAAAGGAGAAAACTTGATGCAAATAATGATGAAAATTCTGACAGATGTCCTGGAGATAACCCAAGAGAAGATGATGGACGGTATAGACGAGGCGTTTCGAGTCTACACAAGATATGCAACGAGGAATAGTCTCCCAAGGGAAGTCATGTAAGATTTACTAAGAAAGCAATCCAGTCACAAATATTACAAAAAGCAAGAGATACAAAATTGGAATATAAAGGCAAGGAGATTGTAGTCTTGAAACAAATCCCGAGAAGAGTAAGAGAGATGAGAAGAGAATATCAATTTTTGACTAAAATTCTACTTTAAAAAGGTGTTAATTACAGATGGCTGATACCAGAAGGTTTAATGTTTGTATGGCAAGGACAAAGATATAGAATAGACACAATCAAAAATGCAGAATCATTCTTCACAGAACATCTCAGAGGAAAGGCCAAGGAGGCTAGAAAAGAAGAACCACTAAGAGAACTTCAAGAGGTCTCTATAGTCGTGATTGAGAAAGAAGAAGGTGCCTAAAGGTGGGACTGAAAAAGAAGAGGGTGCTGTAGGCGGAGTTGACATCAGAGAACAACGAGAATTAAGATCTACTAGAGCAATAAATCCTACTTATAAAGCATAAAAATGGAAGAGAAAAAATGATTACAATCAATATTAATGGACTTAATTCAGCAATTAAAAGAAATAAAATATTCCATAAATTAGGAAAATTGAAATTGGATATAATTTGTTTACAAGAAGTGCATATTCAAAAACAATATGAACACTTATGGTGCAACCAAAACTCGGGAAAATATTTACTACAATGGCAAACTGTAAGAAAAGAGGAGTGATTTTTTTATATTAAAGATACAATCCCAGCGGAACAAATTTATAGAGACGATGGAAGAATTTTGATGGTGGAAATTGTGGACAACAAGAAAGTACTTTTAATAGCAATTTACACTCCTAATGACAAACAAGATGAATTTTACAGAAAACTACACAGGAAAATTATTGATTTGGACTATGTTAATATTTGTATGATGGGAGATTTTAACAGAATTGTAGATCAGAATATGGATTATAAAGCACAGAAAATAATAAAGTTAAATAGAAAACCACTTCCCAAATCCTTTTTAAAAATAATTGATGAAATAGACTTAAAAGATGTTTGGAGAGAAAGAAACCCTACAAAAAAAAAAAACTTTCTACTCAAATAGACACTTATCATGCTGCAGAATTGATATGATATGGGTTACAACAGATTTGATTTATAACATACAGGATGTTCATGAACATAAAAACATACTCTAAAATGTTCAGTACTAACCTGTTACCCAAAAAAAGATGATCACAAAACATGCATATGCCATGAAAATCTGCATCATATCTTTCTTGCTGCTGTTGATCTAGAATATCTTTCTATTGATTGAAAAACAAAATATTCCATCACATCTTTAATAAGAACCTGTGGCAAATTATTCCTAGAAAAATATGTTGTTTCTTCCATTAATTATAATATCATGCTGCACTGTGCTGAACTATATACAACCTATTCTTGTAATATATTGCATAATATGTAGTGCAATATCATTTGACCATTGGAAAATAATTTTTTGCTCTTATTTATTGAATTAATATATCCCCAATAACAGAAACAAATGAAGACTGATCAAAGTAGGCATTTTGTATGCAAACTAACGAAACTGTAACCAACCCAACTTTCCAACTCCATGAAATCCTAAAAATAGTTAGATCCGTTAGACAAATATAACTTGATGGACTTAGTTTACAAAACAAGTTCGTTAATATGACTGTCAGTGGCAGCTTGAGAAGCAGGCGGATTGCTGTGAATAAAAGTAGGATGCCTTTTAACCTCTCTTTCTAATTACCTATTTACCACAGAGGGATTGTAGGGAGAAAAAGTATGTCTTGTATTGTGTTAGATATCACTGCGTGTCAATGCAAGTAAAAAAAACCACATGCACAAACATAAATCAATTTTATACTTTTAAAAATATGTTTAAAAGCACCCCCTTTTTTTAGTATTTCTGTTTCTATTCCTGCTTTTATTTTTTATTGCTTTTACTGGATTTTACTGCTCAGTACTCCAAGTGCTTAGCTACATGTTGTTTTTGAACAACAAATTGAATGTGAGAGAATCAAGCTATATTTTTGCCATGTAAAACCAAAGGAATAAATCATTTATATTTCGGTAACAGGAAATGATCAAGAGACGGGGAACTGGGAGTGCTGAAGATATTTAGGTGTATATAAAGACTGTAGGGCACTTGAAATTAAAATGCTTTGCAAATAAACCTCTATCCCAAAAGAAAAACTCAAAGCCATCAAACTGACCATAATATCTGTTAAAACTCCTATTTATTCATCTCCACATTGCCTTTGACCACTTTGATAATGGGAATAGAAATAATTCAAGCTTATTCATGTTGTTTGCAAAGGTCTGATCTGCTTCCATGTACCAAAGTCTCTCTCCTCTAATGTCCTACTAGCCTTGACCTTTCATTCTTGCAGCTTCTGTTTATTTACAAAGGAAGAGGATGACTGGGTAGAGCACCATTGAAGAGTAGTTTTACGTATGCATGCCCAGTTCTCAATGGCTGCACAAATAGAGATTCACTAATGTGAAAATTCCACACCATTTGTTCCTTCACATAAACAACTCCACTGCTATTTCATCAGGAACAAATCATGCAATGAGCTGAAAAGCACCGTTCTGAGAGTGGCTTTTTTGAAAATTCACAATGTTGAGCTCTGTTCTTTTACTCTGCCTGAATGGCAGTCTTTCCATTCAATGACTCATTAAATGGTAAAACACAAACACATGCACAAATCAGTTCAAAGACCAGGGGAGCAGAAATCTTTCATCTAGTTTGGGTCTCCCAGTTAAAGAGCTTAAAATTTGTACTGCTGCTTACAGCGCTTGATGGTTTGGTAGTTAAGTGGCTAGTATTAATAAGCAGTTTCAACTATTTTAGTAAATTCTCAGTTGGTAAATTGCTATTTTGCAAAAAGACACTGGAGATTGGAAGTTAACACTAGGACATGTAATCAATTCTTGGCCTTTCCTTTCTTAGGATTCCTAGAATTCCCATTTCCTGGAGTCCATACTCCTATATCAGAACCTCACCATTGGCAAAGCAATGCATCTTCCTCTAGAACTGCAACCCTTACCCCCATGAATTTAACCACAGAAGATTCAAGGATAAAGTTCAGATAAGTTACTTTATCACAGATGCAAAAAATGCTCAAACAATGATGAAGGAATCTAACTTTAAATATAAGATCTTTATATGTAAGTGCTGTGGTTTAAACCTTATGTTTCATAACTGTCATCATATGGTAATGGAATTTTTGCTATTTTTTTCACTTTTCATTGTTGAGGGCACTTCACAGTGCTTGGCGCTTACCTTGTCTGTTTTCAGCTTTTTCTTGTTTTGAATATATATAGACTAAAATATCATGTATTTATATATGGCTATGATATTTTGATATAAGAAATATACATACATATCTTTCACACTAATATATCTATAAACATGAAAAGAACCCAAAACACAGTGACCCCCCAAAACCTCTCCAATCCTATCCTTAAGTAAGTTTTTCAGATGAGGGTTTCTTCTTCTTTTTAATTGAAGACAACCTTGACATACACACACACACATACACACAAACACACATCAGTGGCGTGCGGTGAGGTTTATGGCTGGTGAGGCACTGATGTCATCAAATCAGATTTACAAACATTAAAATCCTACAAATTATCTTATCCAATATTTGATTGACAGCAGTTAAAGGGCTATGTTTAAGGTCTCATATCAGCATTCTTTACATACTGTAGCACACAAAAAGCACGTTTGCCATCAGAGCAGATGTTGGGGAGGGGGGCAAAGAGGAAAAGGGTCCACTCCCTCTCCCTCAGACCCCCAGGAAGGAAGGAAGGGAAGGAAGGGGGAGGGAAAGGAAAGGAAATGGGAAAGAAGAAAAAGGAAAGGAAAAGAGAACAGAAAGGAAAGGAAATAGAAAAGAAGGAAAGAAAAAGAAATGGGAAAGAAGAAAGTAAAGTATGAAGAAGGGAGGGAAAGGGAAGGGAAAAGAAAAAAGAAGGGAAAGGAAATAAGGAAAGGAAAGGAAAGGAAAGGAGAAAGGAAAGGAGAAAGAAAAGGAAAAGGAAGATAGAAGAAGGACAGAAAGGGAAAGGAAAGAGTGGAATGGATTGGTACTGCTCAAAAATCATGTCTCAAGATCCCATTGACCACTTTGGCTCAGGCAGTCCAATTCCATATGGCATCCCTCTCTGCACAAAGGAAAAGGGAGAAGTCGAGGCAATGCCTGAGAAACGCCAGATGTGCAGAGAAATGCAGGCTACAACCAGCGAATTGCATTTTCCCAGGAACCAACGAAGCCCCAGAGGGCTAATGGGAATTCTCCTTTCTGCAGCGTCATCAGCCTCCAGGCAGAGTCTTCCTTGACTTCAGGAGAGAGTTCGGTGAAGAGAGAGGAGGGAGGGGGAATATTTTAAATAAATTTAACACATTAAAAAACACTGTTGGAAACTGGTGCACGGTGTTTTCTTGTTACGTGCGTGGCTGCGCAGGCGCGGACCTTAGAGGGAACATTGCCCACTGACTAACCCACCTATTTTTCGGAAGCTTTGGTAGGCTCGCATTCCCCCCTCCCCAATCTTCCTCCCTTTGCACTTCATGCAAGGTTAACTCAACACAGAAGACTCAATCCAAATGGCAACTGGCATTGCATTTATTAAAGAAAAAAGAAAAAAAGGAAATCTGAAGGAAAAGAGGGAGCATGGGGTGGGGGGCATCAGAAATGTAGAAAGAGAGGAGGAAGAGCGGGCGCGACGCTGCAGCTTTAAACAGAATGACAAGAGTTGAAGCCTCTAAAAAAGCGCCCTCTACTATGAGGCAGAAGAACTGGTGCCTCACCTACCTCGGGATTTTTTAGGCTTTTAACCCTCACTTAACTCTGCTCGAGCAATCATAAAACACCTTAGAAGTCAGACTAGACTAGATGAGGCACACAGTTCTCCTGCCTCATAGTAGT